TAACGTTTTATGTTGTCTATGGCATGCAGGAAACAACGCAATCCAGTAGCATACTCAAAGTTCTTGGTGGCAGCGTTGATGATTGCCTGTTCTCCGTCTGTGCCAAAGAAAAGTACATTCTTCAGCTGCTCTTCCAAAGCTACCAGGGTTGAGAAAAAATATTGGTAAGTGTATTCATCTTTCTTTGCATGGATCAGTGCTGGACCAATGAACTAAGGTGACGTGCGGTTTCCAGTATCGTCCGCTTTCCTCGTTTCTAGAAGAAGATGCCTGTACGTTGTGTGGGTGACATCGAACTTACCAATATTGAAAGTGGAATCTACTCCAATTATGCTAATTTGGTCAGGATTCGTGCAGAATCGAACAATGTCATGCAGCTGTTTCTCTGAAGCGAGAACAACACCAAATGGAGCCAACTTGTAATCCCTGATGAAACCCTTGTCTTTTCGTCGCTGATGTTCGTTGAAAATGGCAATGATGTCATACACCTCACTTCCAGATGTTACGCCATCTATTGAACAGTGGGAGGCTGCAGCATTGCGACGTTTAACGTCATAGATCTGCTGTCTATTGCTTGGAACTTCACTTGTGTTTTCTATCCAAGCAATACCTCCTTGTTCTTTCCACATGTCGTGTTCTACTTTCTTCGGTTTCTGGAGCTTTGATCTCTCTGACATATCTTTCATCGCGCAAGATGCTGTTCTCAAGTATGGTTGGCTATCATCTTTTCTGTTTCCATGGGGCGCAAGTTTTAGCTCCTCTTCTTCGCCGTTTTCGAAGAAGTACTGCAAAATTGCCACTGGGAACTCGAGGGAATCGTCCTCTATCCTGGTGACTACACGACGAAACCATGAGCCTGAAATAGTTTCTGCTCTCCAGTACTTGCGTTTCAGGGTGTACGTTGTAATAGCATGAACCTTTTTTGGAAGATACTTAGCTTTTATGTCGCCTTCTAAACAGTGCACTTCAAAGTAGCAGTATGTACGTCCACCCCACAGCCACTTCCCATTGCCATCTGCAGATATCAAATCTTTCTCATCTTTCAAGGATGACGTATCTACCAGAAATGTGTAGTTGTTTCTACATTTAAATGGCACGGAGAAACACAGTTGCTCCTTTGACATCGATGATTGCCTCAGAAGAATCTTCAAGGCCTCCACGTGTGGGTAGGCGCTGATTCTGCTCTCAAATATTGGCCATTCGGTGTTATCATGTAGAAAGGTTGGCTCGGGTTCTGCCAAGGATAAAAGTTGTAGTAATTACTGGATTACATTGTCCCCAATTTGAGCTAATATCGTGCCAGGAATATTTGATAGGTGCCACGCCAATCTTTCTATCGAATTTGCCGGTGCGCGACTAATTCTATAACGTTTCTACTACGAACGATAACCCCACCAAACATGGCTTCTCTGAGTTCTAATAAAACTGAATTAAAATGAAAAATCCTGTACAATTCATGTAGCCGGTTGTTAGCTTCAAGAGCCAGAAACAGCCTAGATCAGGAACTTTTCATTACGACAACGGAAAATTACTCTTGAAAATTTAAGCCACGTTTCTTCCTTGGCACCCCACATGCTAACAATCGTGTAGTGGGTAATATAGACAAACAGGTACTGCAAGTATGCGTTAGTTCAAATTTGGCCCTTAGCTGTTATTTCTCTTAGGCTCTATTGTCTTGTGTTTGTCTTTCACCCTAGAGTACCCGTGTTGCTAGCGGAACAGAGTAAGTTAAGCAAAAAACACAGCAACAACAACAAAGACTTGATAAAATATGGAAACGAGTATTTTGCGAGTTGTGGAGTTGCGAAAGCCAATAAAATAATATCATTACGTGGCGTGTTGTGGAAATAGGTAATACCTTCTATCGGGGGGTCGTCTTGGAAAAGAGACGCGCTGAAAGCAAAGCACATAAGAAAAATTTTGAGACGGTTGAAAACTTTCTTCTGATTTATAGCCATCTTAAAACAACGCTAACAGTATCACAAATTTGCCAATAAAAACTGAAACATTAACAAATGTTCACCCACTATTAGTCGTTCACACTACCCCTAGCTTTTTAGTACAATTTAGATCTACTAGCGTTCTATCACGAATGCCGTTCGCTGACTGGCTACTCCACTCACTATCTATTCTGTTGTAGATAGTAGCGTAACAGTGTAGGCTTGTAAACAAACTGACGGCCGCTTCTTTGCGTTTTCGAACTGTCCGAAGAGGATTCTGATAAAATTTGAACGACTAGTAGATTTAAAGTAAAACAATAAGACTATTCGCTCTCGATTTCTATGCGTGATAGTTGACTCGGCTGCCCTCGTCAACCATCGCGCGATAGAAATCTTGAGCTCATAATCTAATTGTTTAATATAATTACTCATTCAGACTTTTAAACCTGCAACAATCAAGATGCAGGTTTTGGTTGAAAAATCATGGCTCCTTAAATTATTCCCCTCTGTTGTGCCCTTGCATACTGAACCAAGCCTATCTCTTGAGGGGGGTGGGGAATAAACAAATGCAGCAGATAATTTTGTACAGCATCTCCTCAAAATCAAATGCAATTCTAAGCATATCTTCTTATTGCCACCTAAATTTCACGAAGCTGTATCCGGGCTTGTAATTTATGGGTGATGGTAGGGGGAGGAGAAGGGGCTCCCGTGACTTCATCCTCCCTTGCAACTCCTTACCCACACCGCGTCTTAAAGACATTATTTCTGCTTAGCAGAAAGACTACAATAACGTAATTTATGTTTATGCATGTTATTTAAATCATCTATGCTAATATTTTATAGGCTTGCTTCGTCCACCATGCTCACTAAATATGCGAAATAGGCGTGGATACCCTAGATACAGTGCAGCATAACACTCCCCCTACCCCC